AGTGCAATGCAGGCAGGGCTAAGCAGTGTAGGCAGGGCAGTGCAGGCAGGGGTAAGCAGTGTAGGCAGTGCAGCGCAGGCAGGGCAGTGCAGGCAGTGCAATGCAGGCAGTGCAGGCAGAGCCTGCCTTCCACCCCAAAACCCAGCACCCCCAGCCCTGACCGGACCTGCCAGGAAAGGCCAGCTCCTGGCTCAGGTGCCTGACATGATCCTAAACGGGAGGACAGGAATCGGAGCGAGTCGTGCTCACAAACCCTTGCGTCCCCCTTCCCGCCCCAGCCACCTCCTCGTCCCGCGCCGCTGTAAAAACAGTGCGTTTACAGCATCACTAAACGAGGCGCTTGTCTCCACTGCGCGTTCAAGAGCTTTCTGCCTCTTCCTGTCCTCCAGGCCTGGCTCCGACCGCTGTCTCCATGAAGATTACAAGCCCAACACCGAAAAGGCCGTGCGTTGCGGTGGCCCTGGACACGGCACCCTCTGAAGCAGCTATTTCATCAGCTCCGGGACGGCTGGACGCATCCGAGAGCCTCGCGCAGCAGTCAGAGCCAGCCTGTGCATATTAATAAATGCCTGCACTGGACAACCTGGGCTAATAATACAAAATAATACGAAGGTGGATTTATTGTTGCTACCCAGTTAGACATTTTTCAGGCCTGGAGATGTCTACCATTGGACACGGAGAGCAAACTTTTTGCCAAACCTCCCAGCATCCCTTAATGCTGAGCAGTAAAAGCCATTTCTAGGTGCAACAAACAGTTATGAATTGTGAGAATCACTAGCATTTTTGCTGCTGCTAGTGCCAAGGAGCAACGTGCCACTATGGCGGCTGCCGCAGAATTGCACAAAAGGAGCCTTTCCTGGGAGAACGACCAGCCCTCGCCCGCTCGGCTCTTTGCAGTGGGGCTTGGCGAGGACACCTCCAACCAGGACAACCCACCACTGCCACCACTTCCCAGCACTTATATCTTCAACTTGCTTTGAGGCAGAGCCGTTGGCATCAAAATCTTGCTCTCCCATTTGCTACTCCAGCACAGAAAAATCAAGCCATTACAACGGAGGCTGAAATCCTTGAACTTTTCCACTTTGGAAGGAAGTTGCTTTAAGTGTCATTTCATCATATTTTACACAGGCATAAAAATGTCATTTAATCAACTAGTTCCCTCAAGCTCCTGCCGTGCAATAACCCTGCTCTCCGCAGTGCGCTCGGGAGTGCACCAAGCGACAGACCAGAGTCCGTATTTTCCTGAATTACCTGGGACTGCCTGAGCCTACGAACAGCCCACCCAAGCGCTCACCAGCCCACCGTCCTGTTTGACGGTCACCAAACGTGGGTGCTCAGCGGACAGGATTGGAGGAGGACAAGCCTCAGGGACGTACCTTTGTCGGTAAATGTGTGTGGAGCTCTCCGGCCTCCCGAAAGCTGCAGTGGCCCCAGCTCATTTTCTGCATGTCCCTCCAGGGCAACTACCTTCGTCTGTCAAAGGGGTAGACTCGCACGCTGCCAGACATCGGGATCTTTTGGAAGGAAGCTGATGAACTAGGCAGGCATGGCAGGCATGAGAAGGTCTTCCACGGTTTTCTTCATCTTTTTCAGTTTCTGGAAGTCCTTGTTCATAGATCTGCAGGGAACCTCTGTGTTCAGGTAGCGGCTATAGTTGTCAAGAAAGTGGAGTATCTTTGAATTTTCTTCTGATTTTCCAGCCTAAGTTTGGATCTGAATTCCCAGGCTGAAGAGAAGGAAAAATTAACTATTTATGTTTTATTTTTTAGCCCTTCTGTATTTTAGATAATAATTGAGTAAAGGGGTCAGGAAATGACAGCAAAATGCTCTCTAAAGCAGTGTCATCCAGCCACGCCAATGCCCTTCGCGATGCCACGGCAAAGGCCAAACACATCCTCGCCTTGCTGAATACTGCTCTGTATCCACAGCCAGTGCAAAGAGGCTTGAAGTCAGATGGCAATACCAAAAAGGAATAATTTCAGATGAAAAGAATCAGCGCACAGTGAAGCAACATAATAAAGAGAAATTTTTTCTTTTTTTTTTTTTTTGAGAGAGAGAGAGAGAGAGAGAGAGAGAGAGCTTTTTTGGAGCAGGTAGAGAAAAAAGATGTGAAAAGGGCCTGCAAGACCGTTACTTCACTGGTGTCTTGCTCCGAAGTGATGTCTCCAGGTTGTTGTCTCCCTGCAGAAAGCTAGGCCGAGTGCTGGCAACCTTAAGGCTCTGAAGGTGATGCCAGGGCTGCTCTGTTCAGCTCTCCTAGCTACAGTCATTTATGGGTACAATCAAGCTGAGAGACCTAAGCCTTGTCTTTTCACCTTGGAAGAGTATTCTCAGCACGTCTGAACAAGGCGCTTGGTTCCCCCTCGCGCTGCCAGAGCCTCGTCGGGCCACTCGTCCCGGCCAAAGCCACCCTTGCTGATGGTCCCCCTGCACCAGGACTACTTGGCCAGCTCTGTCACCTCCTAATACAGTGCGGGCCTGGCAGGAGAGGTCAGGCAATGTGTCTTCAGCAACTTGCTGAGATGCTTGCTGGTTGCTGAAGTAGGCTAATTTTCTCAAAAGTTGAGTGCGAACTGCTTGCAGCTCCACTGACATCCTGCGCTGCAGATCCAGCCCGGTTTCTGTGGAGGAAAGCAGACAACCCGGCCTCCTGAGCGGTGGCCTTTTACAGCCCATTCCTTCCAGGTATGCTGTTTTGTAGAAATAGGAGTGATATGAGGAGCAACTGCTGCCTAATCAAACCTTCAGCCTCAGGAAATAATAGTGACAATAATAATAACGCCTAAATTGACATTATGCTTTTCATGAACTGCAAGTCCTTTAAAAGGACATCAAAGTCTGTATCCTTCAACGTGCATAGGGAGACACTGAGGAACGGGAGGGGCCTCCTCATGGATGGAAACCAAAGCAGTGGCACAGTCAAGAAATGCTGCCCGGGCCCCAGCCAGCCCGAGCATAGAGTCCATTAATGCTAATTTTACTAATGCAACTCAGTAGTGCTTCTTCTATTAAAACTAAGGTAAGATCATGAAGATGTAGTTGGAAAATAAGGAGGCAAGATAAAGGAGCACCTCGAGCTCCCTCCTCTCCATCACGAGGTGGCTGCAGACTCTCTCCTCCCTGCTCCCCGCTGCGCAAGCAGAGCGGAGCACGACCCGGGCTGTTTGCTCTTCCCACCTCTGCCAAACGCATACGCCGCTGGGCCGAGCATCTCGGCGTCGCAATCATTATCCAGGCAGGGACGCTCCTCGGCGACACGCGCTGCTGCCAAAAGCCTCGTCAGTCGGAGATGTTGCATGCACGGTCGTGGGCTCAGCAAGCTGCGGCAGTCTCGCTGGTGGTCACGTTGATAACAAGATCAAAGGCTCGCACGGATTTCGGCAGAAGTGCTGGGAACAGTCTTGATCAAAATGAGAGGAAGGCCCTGTATGCAGGAGACATGAGAGGTTTGCAACCCACATGTGAACCTTTGAAGTTCTTCTTCTTTTTTTTTTTTTTTTATAAACTAGTTTAACATCATTAGTTTAAGAGGTATAAAACTGATCATCTGTATAATCTCTCTATATACGTTAAGCGCAGAATATTATTCACACACAGACATGCTTTTGCAGTGGAGGAAAAAACACTGCTGGAGATGCTCAAAAATAAGACAAGAAAACACACAATTAGTTTTGTGGGATTTGAAATTCATTTCGTAAGCCAATGTACTTTTGTTACAGAGTCTTGCCAGATAAGTCTGATACATTTTCTTTTCCTATAATCCTTTTAACATTTCCATTCCCCCCTACGGACTTCTCTCCTTGATGTTTTGTTCAGCGCACTCCCTGCTATCTGCACACGCTTGGCCAGATTTTCCAGACTTAAAAGGGGCACCGTATCGGTATTAAATGTTCTATGAGAGCTGATAAAACACACATAAGCACTTTGCTATCTATTAACATTTTTGAACTGCTTCCTTCACCTGCAGGGAATAGTGATTGAAAAGAGGGTGGGGGCAAAACAGGGGACATTTATGACCAACTTTTCAAGACTTTTTTTTTTTTCCACACATCCCTTCCTCACGCAATTGGACAACACGTTATCTGCTAGCTTCTTGTTGTTTATGTAACCGGTAGGAGACCAGCTCTGCAACGCTTCTGGTGAGCGACTACTCGCCTGGATATCTGCCACTGCTACAGGAATAAGGGGTGCAAACTCTCGGACCGTTGCACACAGCTGTGCTGTGCACGCTCTAATCCTAACAGCCGAGCTCTTCACGGGCAGCGCAGAGTCCAGTGTGGGAGAACCTGAACCCAAAGCGGTTTAAAGCTCAGTTTTCGCTTGGTTCCCCATCCGCTAATCCTGCGAGCGCTTGCAGAGCGACTCTCAGGAAGTCCACCTTCGCCGAGCAGCAAAGTTGTACGCAATTATGGCTTGTGCATCGCCTGCCACCCAGAGAAGGCTAAATCCCCCCTGCTTCTTGCAGAGTTCCTGGTAGTTTGCTAAAAGCATCATCAGATCTCTGGAAGTCTGGCTTTCTCTCTGCCAAATGGGTTCAGATTCAGGGACTTCCCCTCCAGTTCAGGACGTTTCAGCTCTCTCCACCTGAGCACTCATCTTGCGAATGGGGGCCACAGGCTTTCTCATCTGCCCCTGCCTAGTCCGCGCTCCCACTTTGCCCGACCTAGCCGAGCCCTGGCCTGGGCAGCGACAATTTGGCAAGGCAGTCCCTGCAGGAGGACGCAGGAGAAGGCCCGGGAGGTAACGGGGACACCGTTGCCAGCAAGGGACGGGGAGAACGAAGATGAATTCCATCCTATTTGCTCATGGAAAAAGGACATATTTTCCATGCATGTTAAGAGCAGTCATTCTTATAGGCGCGTGGAGAAAGCTGAGCTCGCTGGCTCTCGCTCTGCGAACGCTGGACGCTCCTCGAGGAGAGAACATGGCCAGCTTGGTAACGAGTAGGGTCTGATGGTATCTTGGCACGACTAGGGAGGAAGTGAAATATATGATGTGTTACTAGGCTGAACTGATGTGATTTGGTTCTGCAATATAATCCTTTTTTGTTTTCTGGCTGGCTTCTATAGCTATGTAAAAATGGTTACTTACAAACTCAACTAAGTATGAAGTGTACTCACTGAAAAATCTCAGCGAGGAAAGGAAATCCAAATGTTTTGAGTTTAACTATTAAACATAGTTTCCAGCTAGTGTGCTCAGAATTTGAAATTAAACAAATGAAAGAAACATGTTTCAATGGTTTTATGTAGGCAATAATGTCATTAACAGGAAATAAAGAAATTGGGCTTTGCAGCTGCGGCATGGAGTTTAACCCTTCCCATGCAGCAAGGTGCTTGCTCAGCTGGCCCACAGCACAGCCAGACCTGTCCCTGCTACTGGTCACCCTGCACTGGCAAGGGGACCCCAAATACCCCGATCCACACAGCCCCTAAAGGGTGATGCTAGTGGAAAAAGCAGGAGAAGGAAGACAACAGTGAAGTGGGAATGGGCTTTCCTGACTAGTAGAAAACTTTTGAATCACTAAGTCAAATAAAACTTCTCATTTCCACGCGCACACACACACACAAATCTTCATGCACAGTTACTTTTACGTACACTGTGAAAGCTGAATACCCTAAAATTATACCTGTTTTGGTTTGTTTCTGCCTGTCGATTCAATTCTTATTATCAGGGAGGATATGAAAGGTCTAAGACTTCATCCTTCATTGAGCTTTCAGGAGCTGGAGTCTGCATGATCCCTCCACCCTGCCTCTCTCGAACCAGCCCAGTACTGAGACAGCAAAAGAATTTTTTTTTTTTTTTAAGTGGCCGTATTTCCATGAGTGAAGAACAGACTGGAGGGAGGAGAGGTAGCACGGACCAAGTCTTGTGCCCACATTGCCGGGGATCGCCTGGGTCCTCAGGTGCAGACCTGGCCACTGAAGTCACTGGAGCTCCCTGTACACAAACTGTTGCACAACCAAGTCCCTGTTCTGAGACGAATGGATGCTGGAAATGCCACTGAGGAGCACATCCCCAAGATCTGTCAGATGGAGGGACAATAACCATGGAGAACCAGAAGGCAGCCTTTTTAGTTAAAAGAGGAAACCATGGGTGGCCAGTTCTAAAAACAAAAATGAATAACTGGTAAAGAGTAAATAAGTATGAACAAGGGAGAATCATGCTCTCAGAAGACAGGTTTCCTGATATAAAAAGATACTCCAGTGCTGAAAGACACTATGTGCGCCTGATCGTGGCACAGGGAATGCCCTGAGGATCCCTTTTAGCCATCCATCAGGACAAACCCCAGGCTTTCAGGACCTCTCAAAATCTGACCGCTGTGGATTTTGAGGGTATAAACGATTTGCACGGACAAGCTGCCTTAAAAAGGATGGGAGAGGACTGTCTGCCCTGGACCTGCTCCTGTAAAGGAGCAAAAGCAGGGAGCTGGGTATGCTGCTAGCCTCCACCGGCCATGGGACATCCCGGCGTGCAGGAAACAAGCACATTTCCCAGAAGACAACGCACGCCACTTGGTTTGATTTCTCCTCCACAGAACCCACCACTAGCCAGTTAGTGAAGGCAGGCTGAGCGCTAAACTCTACCTCGTTTCCTTGAGCCTAAGGAAAAGCCCTAAAGGGGCCTCTCGTGGGTACCTGTTTTGACTCAGCAGCCACTGGTGGCATGATCTGGGCTGTGAGACCTGACCCTCAGCATCGCATGCTGGGCAACTGTCTGCATTTCATGCGACTCTTTACTGATCTTGGCTTTTACGTGGCCAGACTTTTTGGCACTGTAATATTTTTCTTTTTCTTTCTTTATAGAAATTTCTAGACTTCGGACCAGGAAAAATTCATTGTACTTGTATGGCATGATATACACCCAGCCGCCAGCTCCTGTCCTTCAGAGGGGCGGCAACATCCAGAAATGTCATTATTAGCACGGGGCCATCCTGCTCCCAAACAAACGTGGGGCTGGTACTCGGCAGAGTTTTGCCTGGACATTGCAGCTCTGGGCCTGTCCGTCCCCTTCCTGCCCAAGGAAAACAAAATGCAAATTTTTGGTACAATTTTATCTAGTATCAGGTTGCACTGCCCCCTCCACCCTCCCTTTCCCAGTTTATCTAATTTCCGCATTAATTTTTTAAGCGGATGGTATCTTCCCTGCCAAAGCCCTATTGATTATATGAAAAGGTGTTTTCTTCAGCTGTAGGAACCTCCACTATAATCCTTTCAAGAGAGGTTAAGGAATTAATATTGGCCTCTTTGTTTCACCTTTTCATTAAATGTGGGGGAAGCTCAGTAAGCGTGAGGTCAGGCTCTCTCCAGACGGGACCCAAAAATGGCTGTTGGGACATATCTTCGTTTTAGAGTCATTATTGATTTTTCTTTTTAGTAGAAATCGTGCTGTGAGCAAGACCATTAAAAAATATTATTTTAATCTTTTCTCCTTTTGATAGTTACGATTTCTAGTGCTTTAGTAGAAGCCTGGAAATCATTTACGCAGGATATTTTTTCCTCCCCCTAAGAAACTGGGGGGCTGGGCTGTTATGTTACTGAAAATCAGGAGAAACTGAATGGATGTGAGACGGCCACAACTTCCCTGCTGCAGCCAATGAAGCCATGGGGCTTCAGCAGCCCAGAGCGTGGCACGCACTGTCATACTCACACATCAGGTTTTGGGTTTCTCTCCTTCTTCTCAATGCAACTGAAATTAAAATACTTTTTTTTCCCTTTTGAAAGCAAATCTAACTCAAGTCTCCTATTATCCTGAAAGCATAATCCCAGCCCTTTCACATCACCACTGACAACACCCCAGGTGCTTTCGTAGCACCTATATCTGTCAAGATGAGCATGGAGAAGTAGCTCACTGGAGCAAAATCTAGAGATCTTAGGAGTCGCCGCTGTTTGACAGGACTCTGCCCTCCAGCCTTGCAGATGCCCCTGTCTGTTCCTCCAAGAGCCCTTCTGGTTCATGGGACGGGGTTACATGAGGGCCCTCTTCCCATGAGGGTCCTTTGGAGACCTATAGCCTTTGGAGGCTATTATTATACTGGAAAAGGCCAACACAGTCCTCCCACAGGTCCTATGTCCCCCTGCAAAGTCTTCTAATGAAACACGCAGATGCAGCTCATTAGCAACGGCTCGGTGGGTGAAGGCCACGGCAGGAAGCACTGAGGGGAGCAGAAGGTTGCTGTCACCTCCGAAGACCCAGCTGCTGCTTCTTGAGATGAGTTTACTTTGCAAAATGAACATTTCTACCTGGGGGAGCCTCTGTAAGCTCCTAGCAAGCAGCCAGAGCTGAAATCCTCCTAGCAGTGATGCACAGTCAGGTCATGAGGTCGCAGGACAACTACACTGCTGCAGTCTTGCAAAAATACTCGTTCTGAGGATTTTCTTAGTGATCCGTTTATGGGTCTGTTTTCATCAGGCTGTACATGTAACT